GTATATTCATAAAGGGTTCATAGTATCCACATCTTCTGGTGTGTCGCGTGTACAGGCCAGGACAGTTAAACCGTTAAACATTTGAAGGTTGAATATGACTTGCTCCTTAGTTGTTTACAGACTTCGAAACACTTGACGATGCACAGTTTTCTAGAACTTGCTGGAGCAGTGGTTACACAAATAAGCGACCGAACAGTAACAAGTTATAGCACGGAATAAACGCCGTAGAAACTGTAAAGCTCATTCCACGGCTTAAACAAATATTATTTGGGTTAATGCCAAGGAGAATGATGTTAACGGAACGCTCAGTATTGTCCCCATGATTGAAACTACGATAAAACCCAGCTTAGTGTGCGAATACAGTGAAGAGGATAGATACAAACAGTAACATCATCAGCAACAGAGCCAAACTTCAACAGGACAGCCAGGAAGCCGATGGTCTTCCGTAGAAGGATTCAGGCTTTCGCTGAAAGACCACGAAAGTGTGGAACAAAGCAAGTAAACCGATATAACTAAACTTACATCTTGTCCACCGTGTTCATTCAGCTGTTGCACTAACTGCATCGACGCCCGTAAACAAGAAGACTTGAATGCAGCATTCGAATGTCCCAGAGGCGCCGTTGTTGCACAAATGGAACGTTTATCTGGACCGATTGCGATCACGCGACCAAGACCGGGACTAGATGGCAGACCGGAAGGAACAAGACTGGATTCGAGTTGTGCCACAGAGCCGGTGAAGAATAAATCCTTCTTATACTGTGGTCTAGCTAATTCACGTCGCAGTCTGGCATTAATTTCCGCTTTGATTTCATTGTCCAGTAACTCAGCACCATCATAAGGACCGGCGACGCTCGTTCCACCTGTAAGAATACTGGCACCGCCACCGTGAAGCCGAGATTCTAGGCTCACATTAGAAGTGTTCCGGCGCAAACTGACGGACTGAAAACAGTTAAAAACAAACCAGAGTAGAAAAGCCTGAGAAAGAGAAAACTGCGCACGGCTAACCAAAAATCACAAACAATTAAATCAATGTGATATCTCAAGGTTACAGTATGTGATGCTGGACAGAGGCAAGGATGGATATGTTAATTTGAAGGTGTCCCCCACAACCATTTCAGGTGGTACATAAAACATCATTGCAAAGATGATACACACCATGGGCACAGGCGACCTGATGAGCTAAACAATGTGGTGAAATGCTGCATGAGAAAACTGTCGTCCGGAAGGCGTCGCAACTGCAAATACCCACAGGATAACTGTGCCCATTGAGAGCGATTTATGAGCAGTACTGTATCACCAGTGATGCACATTGCAGACTCTAATTTCAGAGTAAGTTAGAGCTATCACGATTACGAGAAGTATGGATTGGAGCTGTGGTTGTGCTGACGTTATTGACTCATACTTCAGCCCGTGGCCCTAAGGATTGCAAACCTTGCTTGTAATCTGAGGGCGCGGTTTGAGCCTTCGTAGGGGACCGGGTGACCTTCGCAGAATCATTAGGCCACGCGAGACTGCTGGTGGTTGCGAGGCAGTGAAGCGTCGGTACTGTGTACCGACATACTGCTGATACCATACTCCCTTCCGTGGACACGCCACTAGGGCTGGTACATAGGATAACCAACCCTCGATTCTTGCTGGTTAGCTGTTCGACTAATTACGGTGTACCCACCTACCGCTGCTCGCTGGTTCATCGCACAACGATTCCATCGAAAAAGAGATTGCTTACTTCGAAATACTCGCTATCGAATAAGATGGACAATGTTTCGGAGTAAATCCACACCCGTACAAAAAGGAAGTGATTTAACGAGTAGGATAATTTAGGTAATTGCAACATGCGGCGATGATAGTGTTCAAACAGTAGCTGAGACCTGAATTACCAACCACGTGAGTCCTGTGAGGTGATCAATGCTAATAGCAAACGCATCAGAAGCAATGCCACGATGGAAGCTGTCCCGGATATCAAAACCTCAATGAATGTAAGCACTCTGTCATAAAAAGCGATTGGTATAATGGAAAGATTACGTGCTGCTGATGAGTCCCAATAGTACGAAACAGTAGTCTGGCTTTTCTGGATGCGTGGAGAGCAGCATGGATGATGATTTCTCCATGATGCACGAAATTGTGCCTCCACTAAGAGTAATGCTTTTCATCAATAGCTGCATTATATATATACCTGTGAGCAAGAAGCACGAAACTAAGGTCTAGCCTGCAGAATAGTAGCGTTCGTGCAGACTGTATGCCTATGCTAGGCACGTCAAGCTGAGATAGGAATCAAGTATCATCCACTGTACATCAACACGGTTCAATACAGCCCAATCGCAATGGAAATGCGAAACATGCATCACGCTGGCCAGAGAAATTACAGAGGTTAGAAACTATGCCAGCTTCGCAACATACCAGGACGATAGTAAAGCATAAAAATCAGGGACAAAAAGGGGGACTTCATGTACCTCAGAAGGACAACTAGAAGGATTAGCATTGCCTGACCGGAGATTTGTGATGGCTTGACTCGGCTGTGGATCGCTGATGGGCCCCATTTGGGCTGCGTCCCAAAATGAACGAGAAAAGGCGGTGTTCACGGGTGTCGACTGTCCGAAAACTGGTGCAGTGTCACCAGTGCATAGAACGATAGAGGCGACACCAGTAGTGTTAGGGATCACAGTGGAATCCCGCTGGATGGAAACCAAGTCCTGTGGAGTGAGAGCACACAAAAGGCGAGTATGGAAGAGGAGGAAAAGGTGATTCGCCTATACCATTTGCCCTACGAACAACGTCTGAGTATTCTAGGAGTTTTCACTGGACGCTATCGGTGTTTGCGTTGAACTCATGATTTATCAGATTTTAAGCAACTATAATCGTTCGTTTTTTGTGTAGGTTCGTTGCAATTAGACACAGACAGACATCGACCACACATCCAAAAAAGCGGCAGACGACCGTTCCGTCCTATTGGGACTCGTCAGTAGCGCGCACCCACCGAATCCTGCCGGATTCGAACCCATGACCTTACTCTTGCGAGTCAGCGACTTATGTCACTGATCGTTCGTGCTATCGGCTGCTGGAGCTCAGCCATAACAGTAGACCGCGAGCTCCCCGTCTCACTGACAGAACAATATGGCTAACTAATGTAGACGGAAGTACCTCACTTTACGTATTTGCTAAACATAGCACCGACAGTAGCTGCTTCAAAAATCATGTCAACACTGCGCTGGCCGCATCAGATGGTTGGTGGCATCAGAATCTGGATTTGCCTATCACTGTGACCTACACGGGGACAGACATAAAACACTGTGCCTACTGAGGGGTCATGGGTGGCTTGCGTTGCACCCAGCACAGCTCCATCCACACACCACATACACAGTGTAAAGCCGAAGGAATAAGACCGGCAGGAATGTGAATAGGAGGCACGTTTCTTTGGCGGGGCTGGCCGGAAGTCTTGCAACGGTTCACATTGACAAATTTTTGGTCGATAAGTTCATCGTTTATGGTTGATAACTATTTAGTTGTTTTCCGATTTCTTATTCTAACCCGTGACGGATCATTCGGCGGGGCCTGTGAGGGTTCAGCTTTCAATCTGCAATATATCACTGACTCCTTAAGGGTATTTGTCAACAGGGGATCTTAAAAGTGTCAAGTGTACAATTGGACAACTTAGGTAACACATTGTAAAGCAACTTGTTTCTTCGTCTAGAAGTAGTCAAAAGTGAGGGAATCAAGAAAGAGGAGGAAGACCGTGTATGTTAAGGAGAAAGTGATCAAACTGCAAGGACGAACTAAGTACAAGATATTGCAAAATAAAAGCACAAGAAAGTAACAGGCTATTCACCTCTCACGTCAAAGAAATGAATTGCGAGAGGTGTACGAACGAAGATATAATGGATCTAAGTCGCAATTGGCTCCTAGGCTGACGAAAAGCTCACATTAGGCCAATAGGTTAAATGTTTGAAACAAGCATACAATTGCCAGTAAGAACAGAAAAAACGTGGGAAACTCAGAACCGCATAGGAAAGTGAAACATAGGCGGTGGACTTACGGGATTAGGAATCGGGCGCGTTTGGGAGGTGGGTGAAACTAAGGAAGCCGGGGGAGAGAAGGTCGAGGCTACTTGAACATCGCCGATTTGACACAGGGATTGCCTATGCTGCTGTTGCTGTTGAAACGTGAGCGAGAGTTGGGACTGGATGTACTCCTGAACTACGTGAGGTAAGCTAACGCGTAGATGGCTTCGTGAAAACTAAAATAAACACAAGTGTGCCATTGATTACGTTGGATGATAGGATGCCAGCATAGACAGGAAGAAAGGGCGAAAGCTGCAGTGAAATGTAAGCACATATACTGGTAGGGTGAAAACACAAAATCATTCACCACTACATTGCAGCTGGGAAAGCGTAATAGCCCCGATGCCTATATGTACATGACGTACGGGTATAGGTAGTAAGAAACGGATCGAGCCAGTTCAGGTTGAGAAAAAAGAAGTTACAAACCCGTGGAGAAAGTTTAGGCGGCTGCACTACTATTGCGTATTAGAAAACAGCACCAGGCCGTAATATAAAAATAGAAGGTAGAACAAGAAGTGCGCACAAATGTTAGTCGAGTGACAAACTGCAATTCAAGCCGACAAGTGAGCGTGTTAGATACAGTAAAGTAAGATTTCCATAAATGGAACTACGAGAAAATAAGTCTGATTTAGAGTAGCGTAAAGAAACCGCAGTTTTTGACAGAGTTTGGAGGCGGAAAACATAGCTCAAAACTCTGGGGAACTTTGGCATGTGCACAGGATGTTTATTGATAATAAAACTGACAAAAGAATTACTACCCAATTGGATGATAAATCGACCGTATATTAGAATTGCAGTATTATTGAAGACCGGGGAAAACGAAGAGAGAGCAGTATAACTAAATGAGAGAATGCATGTAGCTAGTAATGTAACAAAGGAGAGCCGAACGTATCACTGACGGTTATGGATACACAGTGAGGCATTCTTCCGTAGACCAATTAGGCTGATCAAAGAATCAGGGATCTATTCGCAAATAACAGACAGCAAGTTGTTTCCAACATCGCCGTCTCTCATTCCCGGTGCTCGTTGGTAAAATGCGACATTCCAACAAGCACCAGTAGAGTTGCATCGACGGGTGAAGTGACAAGCAAGAAACTTCGATATTCAGCGATTTTCGGGGAACAGGAAAATGGGCGCTAGTTAGCGCTCATCAAGATAGGCCGAAAGTTATAGAGGCAACACGAAAAGACTGACAATAATGCACATACGTGCGGCATTTGCAGCTGTTGGTAATATGGTCAGTTTGGATTAGGAATTTGGTCTCCTTCGAGCAAGGTAAGAGACGAAAGTCACTGTGTCGTCGAAACGGAAAGCAATCCCCGATATTAGTCCGGGACGAAATGACCCTAAAATAATCTATATGTCGTTCCGACTATATCAAAGGGCCCACTAGAAAATACATTAACCCCGTAAATAACATATTAATCGTATTCACAGTTAAAAGCGTGAGGGACGAAAAGTGTCAAGGGAGCTTATCATTGTTGAAGGCTAAGCTGCAAATGATGAAATTTTAGCACAGTTGAACTTGCAAATGAGATCGTCTAAAATAGTCCATTCGAACATATGGTACTTAGTGTTTCCGACCAGAGCAAGGTACGACATGAAACGATCATAAAGGTATGAGGGAGAGTGAACAAGGAAGAAATGCCTACTGTATGATTGCCCAAGGCGCCAGGCGTAGCGGTACTCGGAGTGGTTCCCGCACCGTCGATCGCAGTAGACTGTTGCTGAAGAAGTTTCATTTCAATCTTGCGAGCAACAGCTTCAGAAATGCGCTGAATCGCGGAAGAGCTGATTAGAGGGCGGTCGCAATTGGCAGCCAAGGAGGCTTCGATCAATTCATTGTCCCGGGTGATGACCATTCCGTCTAGGCTTCCCACAGAAATCGTTCGCTGTCGGCGCTTTTCTTCTATTATTCGCTGCATGATTGAACCACTGAAATGCGGAACGCATGTCTTAAGAACACGAATGGGGCCATAGTGTTAGACAGAAATAGATAAATTAGTGTCCACCACAATTTGTCGAGCAAAATATTGAACCACATAAAATAACAAGCAACTAGACAGAGAAACTGGGCACTCGCTGTAGCTAGCCAGACAAAGACCGTTGATAGGGTGGAAGAGACACAGAACAAGAACCCAGGTCAGAAAAATGTGACAATCAGATGAAGTCCAGAATGAACATAACGCTGGTGGAGAAGATAAAGAGAACAGAGGTGTGACTTCGAGTGCGAATTTATGCTAATGTATCCTGATGTGTAACCAAAAACTTTGAGCGGGAGAAAGTATGAGGAGCCAGATGATAAAGGCTATCGGTAAGCAAGTGCGCCACCTAACTGATTCCGGTAAAGAGGTTGACGAGTCAGATATTTTGAACAACCAATCAGTGGTGTCTAATAATCAAAGCTGAAACCTGTCGCATGAGTTTGCAAAATGTGTTTTATGTCGAAAACAACCGAGAGCGAGATAACGTGATGTCCCTACAAGACAAAAAATAGCAATAATAATAATGGTATCTTTCTTGAGATCGCGAGATATATAGCATTGTAAAAAGCTGGTGATAACACGACGCTTGGATGTGGTATAAGTACATAATAATATAGGTATGGTAGTATTGGATAAAAGTTCTAGCAGAAGGACCCACATCGCTGTTAAATGCAACCGTATGCATACATCGAGTGGCATTAAAAATGTATAGCAAAACGGTAATCATAGGCACTATTCTTGGCAGGTGAAGTAGAAAATGATCGATCCAGATGAAGGTAAACAGCACCAAGAAAATAAAGGAAGACCAGTAACTTCTGAATTGACTACTTAGACAAAGAGCCAAAGTCAAGCAGATAAACCTCTAACACGAACCGGCAACGTAAACTTATGACGACAATGGAGGTGAAACAGTGCAAAAACCAGGTGACAGCGAGATAATTGAGAGTACATCAATGAAATAATGGATAGTCGAACAAAGGACCTTTGTGTGGAAAATAACACAATAACTCCCTTCGCTGATTAAGCACGGCTGACGGAGCACTGGTAGATACAGTAACACCTCCCAACTTGATCCCTCTATATCTCGACCCCATCTCCTAGTTGGCCGTTTCCCATAGCTTGTACATTCACCATGTAAACCCTATGGAACCAGACGTCTGTATAGTGACCATTTCTGTAAGCTGCATGTTGATCACTTGGGCTATAACAGTCATTATGCGTTTAACCGCTATAATTTTATGCGAAGGTTTATTGTGCCATTATCGCCGAACGACTGTTCGGACTGTTCAAATTCTAATGTGTATGTAGCGGGATTTTGCAATGTGTGAAATCTGCCTGACCCGCAATCACCGCACTTTACGGCTGCATAGGCGTTCCACAAGACAGAATGTTCTCTGTGTATGTGTGCATTTTGCCATAACCTCGTGCAGTGTGCCCCCGCAGATCTGCGTCTACGGATTGACCTTGACCTTGCGTGAGCCCTTTCCTCATCCATCTACATACACGTGCTCGTTCATTGCACAAGTAGCAATTAGGAGGTTGATTGCTTGCTTAATCGTCGATTAACCAGTTTGAAGCTAAGCTGTTCAACTACGCTTGTGATAGGACAGAAAAGCATACAAAGATAGACTTTCAAAAAAAATGATTTAACGAAGAGGAAAACACACCGCGTTTTGATTTACTACAGTACAATATGATGTAATTGTAGTTACCCTTACGTACGTTAATCCGACACGTCCGAAGCAGGATGTACGTGAAAACAAAAGGTATACGGGAAAGTAAAGAGCATAACTTGAGCATATTATTGCAGTTCCCTGAGTTGTCAACTTCCGGAGGTTGTACTAGAGTAAAGAAATCCCTCTTGTGAAAAGCAGTCCTTAATCTCTATTATCATTGCAGGTTGTTGATTAATTCGTCCTCAGCTGGACTTTTCATGCAAACGGTCGAATTGTGGTCCGAATATCTGTTTTAGGTATGGCCCTAGTGCCCGAACTGACCGAGACTGAATTTAAAAGATATCGCAGACAAAGTGAGATAGTGTGTCGCAATTTAGTTACTCAAACGGAAGTCTAAGGAGACCAAGGACGAGCCTGTCCTAAATTGCTGTAAAAAGTGCCGCTCATGAATCTCAGTGGTGTAGTGACAACAGCGCCTGTTATTAATTTCCATGTCCGATTTCGGTTCTCTCAAGACGAAGAATCTAAATAAGGACCAAACCGATTGGAAATTCCACCGGTGAGAGCAGGTAACACTGAACTACGATCTAATTAGCATACGGCAATGGTATGCGAAATGAGCAAAGTTCACTATAAAGTAAATCGCAGATCAAAGTGAGATGGCACGTTTCAATCCATTCACACAAGAGGCTAAAACTAAACTAGCAGTGGAAGCCCCATCGTGTTAACACGAAGCCAATAAAGGGTGTTCGGCGCGAAGCGCGGTGAAACAGTACTTCAACACACACGGATACCAAGTTTAGGGGGCGGTCGGATGTAATTCTGCAAATGACGTCACAGAAGCAACAAGTGTAAATACTCAGGAAGGTGACGTTTCGCTCAATAGCACAATAAGAAAGATCGGCGTGACCGGAGGGCGCTGTCAATTCGCCCATAATAGAAACGAGCCAAATGTGATATAAAGCAGATCGGGGTGACAGACTAGGGGAGTTTATCAAACTTCCAATGAGACGGATGAAGATAGTTAGACCAAGCACCCGAGTGTCTAGGCATATAAGACGATGAATCAAAATGGGCACTGCGGCCCACGATCATGGAGAGTTGAACACTGTGAAGAAGGAAAGCGGATGACAACAAGTACTATCAGGCAAACGATCTCTCGATGATAGACCATCTGGGTGACCCCAGTACCCAAACATTTAGATGAACAAAGCGTGCGCAAGCAAACTAGTGATGGCCCCGTTGATAGAGGAGCCAGGTCAGCTGTGTAGCAGCTCGACAAACATAGCTGGACCAACAGGATAGAAACGGATTAGTAGAAGCGCATCACTACATTATCAGTGATGTAGTGAGTAAGAAATGCATAGTCCAGTGGACCAGTCAGTAAAATAACCCGCAAGGCGAACACGAACGGAGGTATATACGGAGTAGACGAAAGATGCAGGAATGAATTAAGTAGTCTACATAAGTAGTAACCGGGAAAATACACGATAAAATCTGAATTAGGCGCAAGATTTGAAAAGAAGACCCAATGTATACTTCTGTAACCGTCGCTAATAGGTTCGCAGTGTGAGGGTAGTAACCGGAGACAGGAAAATGCAACAGTGTGATTTACCTGCAGCTAGAGCGCATGTAGTGAGGCTTGATATCTACACACACGCATCATGGGTAGCAAGCACTGGTGTATTGGAAGGTGAGCACGGAATAATCGAAGAAGTCATACTAGAGAGGAATGGTGACATATGTCAGCACATAGTAGTGGCTCAAATACTATCTGGCAAAAAAGCAAGTTACGGCATGGTTGCCAGCAAATGGGAAAGTAAAAACCAGTAGATAAAGAAGTAAAACCAGCTGACCTACCGATAAGTCGCTATACGTCGACTCGGAGTCCGCTTTGTCTGACCGACTCGTCCAGAATGCGTCCGGTTCCGTAGCCAACCGCCAGTGTTAGGATTGGGTCTGGCTGGTTCCGGTGGGGGAGCACGACTGGGATTTTGGACGGTAAAAACCCGGCCGCCCTGCGCAGTGCGCATCAGTACCATGTTAGGTCTACCGCGGGTACCTAACGCGAACGATGTATTGGCCTGAAGCTTGGCATCCGACCGTTTCATTTCTGAGTCTGACTGGCCTTCTGCCATCATGGCGTTCGCAGACTTTTTCACAGCCAGTAGCTGCTGTTGCTGCAGTTGAAGTGCCATGGCTCTTTCTGCACTAGCTTTAGCAATCACCATGCGCTTAAAGTGTCGGGCTTCCAAGGCCAGACGTTCAGTGGCTGCTCGACGGGCAGCTGCGGCACGTCGAACTGATTCTTGTGCAGTCTGTCTAGCGCGTTTCACTTGGTTGATCCGCAGGTGCATTTCCATGGGACGAAATAGCACGATAAGAGACTTTGGATGGAGAGAAAGATAAACGCAGGAGAATATAGATCCCCGGATCAAGGTGTGATGAAAAGAATATTTGATATACAGTTAATCATGTGACAAGAGGGATCAAATACACGCGTACGTCAGTATGCATGAGGAGCGCTGATCGATAAAAGCACAGTGACATAAAATTTAGTGGACGCAAAACCGATATGGGACCGAAACAACAAAGTGACAGAAAAACAAAGCTGGCAAACGGTTGGTCGCTAGATCATTCATCACTAGACACGTAAGATAGAGATGGGAAACACTTCAGTTATTATGCCGCAATACACGGCGAAAAAGAAAAAGGACGCAAACTAGGCACGCAAGTTGAGCCACCAATTCCGGAGAGCAAGCAGCCGGCTATTGCTCCGCGAAAAAACAAATTATGGTATGCGTCAGAAATGAGGTCGTCGTTAGAATGGCAGGTAAGTGGGAGGGGGAGGGAGAAAGAAACTAAAAACACAAACACCACCGAAGTCGGCTTCTGGTAATGTCAACAAGTGCATCTAGCTAAACGTCTTCATTGTCTTTCAAGCCACAAACGGGGAGCAGATAGTCACCAAGATACGCCATGTTTGGACAAAGGGCCTTCATTTCTCTTGACCAAGTCACCGCTTGGCCTCTCTTCCTTTTATTTCAACCACTAATCAGTCGCGCAAATAACGCACGTCGCGGGAGTCGGTGTGCCGACATGTGCAATACGTGATCTAGCCATCGGAGCTTGGTTCATAAAACAACGGTTTTGTGAGATTCTTCTACTCTTCCCACGCCAAAAACAGTGCGCCGAACACGCTCATTGCACAAGCGGTGTTCCCACCGGATATGAGCTAAGCTGCGAAGGCACCGGTGGTCGAACGTAACTAGTCTGTTTACGTCTGCCGAATCGATAGGCCAAGTTTCATAACCATAAAGTATTGTATACTCTAAACGTCGGGGAGTGACGTTGCGCCGGCGCTATAGATGGAGAAAGTTAGCAAAAGCGCCTCGAGCTTTTGCTATACTGCTGGTGACCTCGTCTTCGATTCCACAGACACGGGTACAACTGCTTAGGTAGTTGAATTTCTGAAGGACTTCTAGCTGATACCAACCAAGGGTCAGCGAAGTGGCGGTCCCAGCCAATCCTGGAGGAAAGCATTGTAATTTGAGGGTGCAAAGCATAGCTCGAAACGGCCGACAGTCAGTGCTAATCTGTCTAGTGCTGCTTGGTACGTCCGTGAACTGTCACAGATGAGGACAATGTCGTCAGCATAGTGCGAGTCAAGGGGTCGTTCGCCTTCTAAGCCATGTCCAGTGAACATGATTTGCATGACTTCGTCAAAAGGAAAGTTGAAGAGAAAAGGTGATAGCGGCATTCCCTGTCTTACACCGCTTGTGGTACTGAAGGGTGCCGACAGTTAGCCGTTAGATTTCACTCTGTCCAAACTACGCGTGTAAATCGATCGGATAATTGTTATCTATTTCTCGAGTACATCTTTCCTAAGAGGAGTCCGAAAGAACACATTAATTTCCGAATCTAAAGCACCTTTGATGTCGAGTAACACGACAACGGTGGGCCGCCGATTTATGTGACGGAAATCCAACAACTGATGTACAGTGGAGATGTGATCGATGTAGTCCCGACCTCGATGAAGCCAGGCTTACTCTTCACGAATCCGGTCTTCACAGGTGCGAGTCAATCTGTGAAGGGTGATCGAAGCAAGTAGCTTGGAGGCGATGAAAAGCGGACTGCTTCCTTTGCGATTGCTGCATTGTGAACGGGTCTCTTTTGAAAATCGAGACAATAACGAAGGGGTTCCAGTCGGTTGGGACAGTTTCTTGTTCCCACAGTTTCACTAATAACTGGTGTAAATTACCAACAACAGCAAGTGCCCAGAATTTGAAGAGGAATGAATGAAGCTCATCTGGTCCCGCGGCTTCATTTAACTTCAGCAGTCCGATTTGACATTCCATGGTTACCAAGGACAGTGGACTATTCCATCGCCGACGCACGATGTGACCAGCAGAATTCGATGTCTATCTTCAGGCTAGCATGGAGTTTTGCCTTGTCTGTGAGATTCGTTGCGTTCGCTTCCAGCCGGAATGTACAGGCAAGCATCCATAAGTTACTACTGAGTGTGCAGTGAGATTGCATATGGGATAATAAATTTTAAGCTCTTGAATCTATGGATGTATTGGGGAAATCTTTCCGCTCACAGATTCTCTCAATTTAGAGATAGGCAAAAACATTAAATAATCCATATATAGAATCACGTAGAAAGGTAACATGTCCTCACGTATTATCCTACCAGACGGCAGTGTGGTCGACACGCTTACTACTATAGCAGATGCATTTAGTGCATAGTTTGCTTAATCTTTCAGTACCGATATGGTACGTCTAATCATCCCTGAAAACGTTTCTGTTGTGGGCTTCAAAATCAAAGCAATTAGACGCATGATAAATTTACTGTGGCCGTCCCATAACCCTGGTCCCCACGGTATCACTTCAGCTGTAAACAAGTATGAAGATGAATATAATCTCCCTACCACGAAAGAAGCAGTCTATGAACTGTGGACTATAAGCCGGAAAATTATACCCATGGAATTGTTAAGTCACAAGAGTGCGAGGAGCGTTTGCAATTGTAAAATGGAAAGTTGGAACAGGATATGCAGTAGAGATTGGTGTAATCAGAACGAGGTCGAAATTGAGCTGTCTTAATGGATAAATTGGCAGATCTAGTCCGACAGCAGCAACCACTGTTAGCGTAAGCAGGCACAGATACACAGGAGACAGAGCACGTGCTGTTTGACTGGTTGGGTGACTCACCCCGGCCACTGTTAAGCAGTGGTGAATGCTGTCGGAAAGAGCGCTCGAACAAGTGCAGTGCGTTTGCAAAGCTGAGGCGCCTGAGCACAGCAGCACCAATATATGTAGCCATGATGAATTAGCTAAATTATACCAACATACTCACTTACTCATCAGTAATCACGGCTAAATGTGCCGCTATAGGCCATCTGTGCGCCAATAGCACAAAATCTTAATCGGGGTTATTATGCATTTCTATGTATGTATTAATGAGAAAGCAGTATTTAGGTCGATGCACTGGTTTCACTTCACTACTGAGCCTCTGGTAATCGGCGGGCTTTTGAGGTCCCGCGATGTAGCAAGTTTCTTCTATGATCCATAAGTCCTAATAAATGGATCCCATAAAACATCACTGGTAATTGTTTATCCACAAGCTCAGGTCAGTGAAACGCCAGTTGGAGCGAATTTTAAATCCTCATCCACGGTGTACTACGGAGTGGATTGGGACGGTAGGTATTTCTTAGAAAGATAGAACTTCGGAGGCCACCCAGATGGTCCTGAATAAAGAAAACATAAGGGTAATTTTCCAGAAACGTCAAACGCTCTGCTCTACACTGTTGCATTTAAAAGACTCACTTCCCTAAGATAGAACAACCGACTGCGTCTACAAAGTTAGTTGCAGACTGCGCATACGTGTACATTGGCGAAACTAGGAAAGAGTTACGCACAAGGATAGCAGAACGCAAGTGACGCATAAAACGGTCACCGCGAAACGAGCTTGAATATATGGCTCTACTAAGGAGTTTTGCAATAGTGATGCACGCGATAGATACAGGTCATGAGATCGACTTGATTATGTCGAAATCGTTAGAAAGGGATTGTGTTCAACTCCCCAGGGCTGACTGCTGAGGCAGTTGGAATAAGCAAGGTGAAGAGCTGGGTGAACAGGACGAACAGAGCAGAGCTTTCGAGCGTGTGGTTAGCAGTCTGAGGAGCGCCGGCGGACGGATCCAGGGCAGAGAATGAACACCACACCACCCCCACCCGTCGTTATCAAGGCTTACGTGCATGACCTGTAACGCGGACCACTTGTGACCGTTCCATGCACTATTTGGAGTGATGCGTTGATATGTAAGGCGATTGAGCTTCTGCCTACATCTCGTTCGTCGCGATTATCATCCCAGTTCGCTATGTGCTATAACATTCCAAGACTGGTTCACTCGGCCTGACGAAGTTTTTGTGTCAAAAGCGAAAGGCTGCCTACAAACTATACCTTTCTGAAATCATGAGTTCTCGATCGGTTCCAAGTATTTTCCAAGATGTTGAGATCAATGTTAACTGTTTATCCACAAGCTTTATATTTACTTCTGCTCTACAGTTCGAGCATTTATGGTAGCACACTGGGACTGACATCGGTTATTGTCGATACAAATGTTTTGCGCAACCCTCACGTTCTCATTGTGATTCCGACCCACTGGGTTTGACTATTCGTTGTGATTATCGCTGGAATCGTTTACTCATTCATCTAAGCATACTGAACCAGTGCAATTATTATCCAATGCGAAATGAGACGTATTTACCGGCATTTCCGTTACTAGCCACCTACTTTAAGAACATCAGAGCAGTAGTTCCATAAACCAATGGCTCACGAAGAACAAAGAAATAAAATTGTAGAACACAAATTGCTGAACCATGGTATTCATCAGATGCAATTTATTGGCCGCATATATTGTTGGAAACGCTGGTGGACGCAACGCGGACTATCTGTACAGGATGTCCTCACCGGATGTTGTTAACAGTTTTCATTTCTCTGACGCTGGAAAGGTTATGGGTTTTGACGGACAGTCATTCACGGTAATTCAATGAAAGAGGAGATTTACCGCACAAGAGGCGGAAAACCACACGATGAAGTCAATGAGGCTACGCGGTACTGGTTCAAGCAAATGAGGGCGGTTAAGACTCGAATTTCTAGGCCAATAATTCAAGAAATTGCTAAAATGTTCTCACAATGCTTGGCTAGAGAAATTTAAAGTCTGACATGACATATCTCAACGAGTTTTTGTGGTGAATCAAATGAAGTGCCTGAAGAGCTTGTCAAGACTTTATAGAAAAATTTCCAATAATGACGACATTTTTAACGCTGACTATTGAGCTCTTTTTCAAGACGATGCCTAATAGAAGCATTATTATAAAAGGT